TAAAATATTCTCTTTCAGGAAATATCCTGAGTGCAGCCATTTGGTTAAGTGAGAGAATCTAGACTAGAGTCTCCATATAGTGCAGCAGTCATGGGCCCAAAATTGCATATAATTGCAATAGTGAGAGGCTCACATGAGCTTAAATATCGACTCGACTAAAGAGTCTCCCTCTCCTTCATGCATTTATCCTTTATTATCATTCTCTCTGCCCACTTACTCTCTCAAAGAGAATGAAGTAAGAGGAATATCCTGTGCTCCTTGTGAAATAAGTATCCTGTAGAAAAGTGATTCCCTTCTCTCTGCTTTAAGTGGAATGGGAAAGAGGGAGAGACCCACAGCCTATACCATGAGACAGATTTTATTTTCTAATTTTTTCATTTCTCATTTCTGAAAAAAAAAAAAAAATCTAGATACAGCCTAAGATCATGTTTTTAAAGAGTAAAATGGTGGAAGCTGCTATAGACCAAATACTTGATAAATCTGATAATCTGAAATATTGGCTTAAATGTCTTGAGCTCATAAATTAGCCACTTGTCTGTTGGACCAGATTGATAGACAGTAAGAAAAAATAGAATATCACATTGTTGAAAAAAGATGAATATTGATAGAAAAAAACCCTGCTGTCAGCGAGGAGTAAAATTATCCACACACGCATTTTGCTTCGAACAGCTTTGCTTTGCTCGGGATTATTTAGTAATATTAAATATCCTAATTCTCAGATTAGTAAAGTTTTGGTCTGTGTTAAATATTTTACACATACATATTTTAAAAAAGAAAACTTATTTTGAACTTATTTTACACTAATTTAGCAAAACGTCTCGGGTTACGACTGTAACCCTTAGGGAACGAGATGCTGCGTCGAGAATCGACACTTTGGGGAACGCGGTTCCCCAAAGTGTCGATGGTTTGGCCCAGCCTGAAACTCGTTACTGTGGTCAAGATGGTATTTATACGAGCAGGAGACAACTCTGCCCGCATCGTAACTGAGTCCCAAACTACCCCCAGGAAAATAGTTCTCTGCAGAGGAGTTAATGAACTCTTCTTGACATTGAGTCTCAGTCCCAAGCACCTTAGATGGCGCAGAACAACATCTCGATGTTGAACCACCATCACCTCCGACTCTGCTAGAATCAGCCAGTCGTCGATGTAATTGAGGATGCGAATGCCTTGAAGTCTGAGAGGAGCAAGAGCAGCATCCATACATTTCGTGAAGGTGCGAGGTGACAGTGCTAGGCCGAATGGAAGAACTCTTTCCCCCGAAAGCAAACCTTAGAAACTACCTGTGTTGAGGAAGGATGGAAATATGGAAGTAAGCATCCTTTAGATCGATCGTGACAAACCAGTCCCTCGGATCTGATCTGACTCACGATAATAGGTATGGTCAACATTTTGAACCTGTATCTCCACAGAGACCGGTTCAATACCCTGAGATCTAATATGGGACGTAAACCTCCATCCTTCTTGGGAACTATGAAGTACCGGCTGTAGAACCCGGTTTCTCGCTCTTGAGGAGGAACATACTCTATGGCCTCCTTCGCTAAGAGGGACTGGACTTCCTGTTCCATGACCTGACCCTGCTTGGGGCTGACCAGTGTGTGCACGACCCCACTGAATTTCGGTGGGCGATACTCGAACTGGATTCTGTACCCCTTTTCTATTATATGCAGGACCCACTGAGATATATTTTGAAGACCCTTCCAGGTGTCTAAATAATGTACTAGGGGGATCAGTCTCTCGAGACTGACCTCTGGTGTTATATTTAAGACCTCGGTGACCTGAAGCAGTTGACTGGCAGGTCTTAACCGAAATAATTTTTCTGCAGGCCTCGTGAGAGGAGGCGAACTCGACAGAGCCGCCAAATTTATGGGCGGACACTGTGATATGCGTTCGCTGGAGACCAATGCGTCCCGAGGCGCCTTTGGCGGCGGGAAGCAAACATCGATTTCCTGAGGGCTCCACGAAGGAGCGCGTTTTTGAAGCTCAATCGCGGGGGGGGGAACGCCCTCAGAGGCCTGCGCAACACGTCAGGACCTCTTTGTCGAAGCCTTCCTTGCCTGGATGACAGTCCTCAGATCTGCCCTGGGTTAGGAAGGCTTCGGCTGAGAGTGTTGCCTCTGGCTCCAGGCCTTTTTCGGGGAGCACGAGAAGCAACACTCTCTCTCTGCTGTTGCAGGTGTGAGGAGCTGGCGACAGCCTCGTGGGACTACCCCCTGGCAGCAGACCCACGAGACTTGGGACGACGGCGGGGGATAAGTTGTTTTAAAGCGGCTGACTGTAGTTTCGTCTCCTGAAACCTCTCGACGACAGTGGTGACTGCTTCGCCCGAAGAGGCCAGAAGACGAAATCGGGGCGTCGAGGAGGCAGGCCCTGTCCTTGTCCCCGACACCCGACAAATTCAGCCACAAATGCCTCTCCGTTGCTACCAAAGCTGCCATTGAACGGCCGATTGCACGGGCCGTCTCCTTGGTAGCACGGAGAGACAAGTCAACCGCTCCACGCATTTCCTGAATATCGTCGAGGGCGACCTCCCCGCTTTCGTCCACCTCTTTTAACAGGTCGGCCTGGTATGCCTGCAGGAGCCCCATTGTGTGCAGGCATGCACCAGCCCGAACTGCCGCCATATATGCTTTCCCAACCAAGGCCGATGTTGTACGGCAGGGCTTGGAGGGAAGCGCCGGAGCTCTCAGGGACGATGCAGCCTCGGGCGAGAGATGAAATGCAAATGTCTCTTCAACCTGTGGCATCGTCCCATAGCCCATCTCTCTCGACCCCATAATGGATGAATAAACGTGTACATTGGGGCTGGAAAGTCGAGAGGAGAAGGGCTTTTCCCACGATCTCGACACCTCGGTGTGGAGATCGTGGAAAAATGGGAGACTCCGGCGCGAAGGCTGTGACCGGGCTTGCAGGAAGCGCTCATCGAGTTTGCTTTTTACTGTCGCTTCCTGCTTTTCTGGTGGCCAATTGATATTTAACTTGGCCACAGCCCTAGTCACAACCTCCAGCAGCTCCTCAGATGCAGGATAATGGAGTGGCAGATCCTCACATTCCCCTGCATCGATGCTCAAAACATCCGCCTCCTCAGAGGCAGACAGTTTGAGCATCTGGTCCTCTTCACGGGCGGAAGAAGCCGCAGTGCGGGCTCCCGAACCGTGAGCAGGACCATGGGAACTGGTCGATAAATGTTGGGAAAGGGCCGAAGCCGTCTCATCATCCCCAACCAGATCCCTATGCGATCCCCAAGAATGCAGACGCCGCACTGCCTCGACAGACGCGGGACCTGATCCCTGGGAAGCGCGTGCCTGGCCTGTTTTATCGAACAGGCACAGGCGGGAACGGAGCGTTCTCATAGGCATGAGATCACAATTAGCACAGACAGCGCCCTCGAGCGCTGCCTGTGCATGCTCCATTCCCAAACAAACAACACTGAGTGAGTGTGTGTCACCCTCGCTCAAAAAGCGTGGACAAGGAGACGCACACTGTCTGAATTGCTTCTCTGCCATAATATATAAAGAGTAACGTACAAACAACACCAAATAAGACACACAGTCACATAGAACGCTTGCTGAAGAACAGAAAGCTGACGCGGTTCACCGTCACATGCAACGTCACGGGTGACGTCATCACACAACACCAATCAAGATTGGACTAGTTCCATACAGGCTTCAGACGGGTCACGCTGAAGGCGTTCCCCAAAGTGTCGATTCTCGACGCAGCGCGAGTTCCCTCGAAGGGGAACTTATAAATAAATGAAGATTTACATTTTGGTCCAAAAACAAAATGACCAGTTTATTCATTCATCTCTTTTTCTGCCATAACAGCAATAACAATGTATTTATTTGAACAATACATTTAAAAACACCATTTATTTTCTCTTTTCCATCTCCTTTACAAACATATTTTCCCTTTCTCTTCCCCTCCCCTCTTCTCGAGGTGTCATGCTAACCCATATCAGCAAAAAGCACCTGCTCACCATTGCTTTCATAATGACACGAATCCCTCCTGTTCATCCTTCTGTCCAACCTTCCTCTAATCTGCCTCTTTTCATTATCATTCACCCTGATACATTATAGTTTTGTGTGATCCACGGCTCTGTGCGGTGCATGTCTCATTATGAAACGATACAAAACTGTTTGTTTTTCATTAAGTGGCACACTTATTCCACAGTTTTAGGTCATAGAAGTTTTGAGTGTTCCAGTATGTATAAAATAAAGCTAACCATAATCTGGAGTCAATATATATTTATAGTACTTTTTCTATTTGAATTAGATGAGATACAGACTCAATAATAAGAAAAAAGCATTCAGAGTTGAACTGACTCAGACACGTGGGAATGATCAGAAACACTTGCTTTACTAAGCCTCAGTTTTGTTTTTAAGTTCCTAAGCAGATGATCTAGTGATTTATTAAAGAAGGTCTCATAAGGAAAACAGTTTGACACTAGTTAACTGAGAAAAGCAGTGAGATCTGTGAAGCGACTACACATTCATAGGATGTGAATATTATTTAATCTATTGCTAATGCAACACCTCTATTCTCTCCCTTTGTTTTTTCTTTGCAGCCTTTCCACCTGCAAAAAGTGATAATGATGGTCCCTCATTTTACCTTGATTGGTGAAGCCTCAGAATCAGAGAGGAGGTTTAGCCCTTCAAGATGTCTAGACATAATGGTGTCCTTTTTTTGTCTGCAGTCATCTATCACTCAAGCTGTCTTAGTTATTCATTAACACATCTTGAAACATGAAACAAAATTCGCAGTTTGTGAATTCCTGCAACAAAATACATTTTTCCACCTCAATTTCTTCATATTTCTATATGTTCCTTCACCAGCCTTATGTAACATACTTCTGAGTTTCTTTGCTACATAACTGCTCGTAAACATCCAAATAACATCCAAACAATATATAAATCAATTTGCGCAAAAAAACATTGGACCTGAACTTATAATATTAAAAAAACACAAACAACTTGGCAGCACTAACAGAAACAGTTCCAATGCACTTCATTCGTTGCTTGTTTATTGGCTAAAAATAACTATTTATTTTCAGTCTAAAAAATACACTATCCATCTGTCAATAGTAGTCTATGTATCATACTAAATCTTCTTTCAGCAAATCTTATAGATGAAATCATTTTAGGGCATTGTAGGTAAAGAAAAATATGATATTAGGATACAAAAAAAATCCTCCTTTCTTTATTCTGTTTTTGTTCTGTGGAGTTTCTCAACACTGTGAAAGTCATTATTATTGTGATTTCCCTCGGATTTGGTGTGAGACTCTAACTCCTGCATGGGGTGGTGACATTATAGGTGCCGTCCTCCAGAAACTCATCTTCACTCAGGCTTATATGAAGGCAGGTGTCATTCATAGGTGAAGAGAATGGGATGGTTTGCTCATAGCCCAGCGGTGTGGTCCCACCATCCACAGCTGGATGATCCTCAGGTAAGCTGCTACAGGTACTGGATGTGGAGATGAACGCAGAGCTCTGGTCATCAGAGGGGTCGTCTCTGGATTGGGGGGATACAAGGGATTTGTCATTGGAGCGCACGCCAGAATCCTCGCTGGTTGAACATGACACGCTGTTGCCGTTGGTGTGAGAATAGAAATCCCCCGGAGAAACGGAACATAGCGCGATGTCAGGAAACGAGGAGCTACCGCTCACGTTTGTGAATGCGTTCCCATTTACAGGTGTGGCTACAGCTGAAGATCTTGACTCTGCCTCTACACCCGGAGAGAGAGTCCTGTTCGACCGCTTGCGGTTCAGGGGCTGAGGAGGTGGGTCCAGTTTAGGAATGGTTTGTTTATACCTGCGGACACAAAAAGGAAGCAAATTTTGTAGGTCAATCGGCTTGTCTGGGTAAAATTTTAAAAAGACACAGAATACCATAACATTTTTTATAGTACATTTGTCCTAACCAAGCACAATGAAGCAGTCCAATTTGACAACAAATATGTGCTTCCCTTTCGAAGGGAACTCAACAATACGTCATCGACGCTATGGGGAACGCCTCAGGCGTGACAGGTGTCTGAAATCACTATCAAATCACCTCAATCACATTGACCGGCGACAGCCTGTGAATCATTAACGTGAGTGATTAACGTGCGACCTGGAAGTATATAAGGGCGCCTTGCAAACATGACAAATCATCTCATCGTCTTCAGGGACTGTTTGTATGAAACGTTATTCAAGCTTAGGTCAGAAAAAGGTAAGAGATGAAACGCACAGCAAAGGCGGATTGTTTTCGTAAGTGTGCCGACCCATGTCCGAGGTTTCTGACACACACGAGCTGTGCGTTTTTTGCCTGGGAGAAGAGCACGCACGGGAGGTTCTCGAGGGAGCCCTCTGTGCGAACTGAGAGCGTTTTTCTCTTAAAACGCTCCGCTCTCGTCTATCCCTCTTCTCGAGTGAAGGGGGTTTAGCGTCTGGTCCTCATGGTGCAGGTCCCGCTCGTGCCGAGGCCGAGCGACGACTTACGTCATGGGGTTCCCAGATGGAGCTCGTCGATCGCCTCGAGAGGGCTGTTAACCTCTCAGACGATTCGACGGCGATTACTCACCGACTGTTCCTGCAGTTGCGGCTCTTCCGGACGCGCAGGAGATGGGTGAGGAGGTTTATGATCAGATAGATCCTGAAGCTCCTCAGCCACCCTGCCCCGTGTATGCAGAGCTGGTGGATGTGATGGAGCGCACTGCTGAAAGGCTGCAGTTGCCTTGGCAGCGCGCTAGAGGAGAGACCGCTCGCGGCAGACTCAATGATCGGTTTCTCCCCGGCCATACACCACCAGCTCGGGTGAGCCTTCCATTCCTTCCTGATCTTCACTTGGAGATCGAGAAGGCATGGAAGAACCCATAATCTGCCCGTATTCACCAACATCAGCGGGCTAGTTTCGCTGATGTTGAGGGGATCGGAGAGTATGGGTGCGTGTCAATGCCGCCCATTGACGAGACGTTCGCGAACTATCTCGTATCTGGGCGGGCAGCGACACTGAGAGCTCCAACCCTGCCATCCAAACCGCTGACAACAACGGCTCGTTTGAATGGCAGAGCATACACGGCAGTAGGTCAGGCCGGTGCTGCACTGCACACTATGGCGGTATTGCAGGGATACCAGGCCGACCTGCTGGGGGATCTCAACCAGGGGGCAGGGATGTCCCCCGAGGCGGTGGCTGAGCTGCGCCGTACCACGGATTTGGCTCTCCGGGCTACCAAACAAACCGCCGCCGCGATCGGCCGGTCGATGGCGGCGATGGTGGCCACGGAGAGGCATCTGTGGTTAAATCTAGCCGGCATCGGGGAGAAAGAAAAGGCCTTTCTCCTCGATTCGTCGGTTTCGCCTTCTGAACTCTTTGGCACCTCCGTAGAGGCGGTGGTGGAGAAGTTCAGGGAGGCGAAAGGCGCGCTCAGCAGCATTTAAGACCTGCATACCGCTGAGATCCGCCTCCGCACCCGGGCAGGCGGGAGAGCCTGGCCCTTCACGGTCTGAGGACCGTAGGCAGGGCCAGCGAGCCAGTGTCGCCTCTCGTGCGCCCCCTCCCTCGAGGAGAAGGTCGCAGAGGACGCGTGACTCCCGCAACAGAGGAGATTTGAGGGAGGTTATCCAGCACAAACGCACACTGCGTCGGTAATGGATAACCTCCTCGGAGGGTCTCGAAATCTGCCCTCTCTCCTCTGACCCCCAGGCGTTCATTACATCAGGCCTGGGGATGGGCCTATGATGAGAACTATGTTCTGATGGCCCACCTAGGCTTGGTTAGTGGAAACGCCCCTTTCAGGCATGTAAAGTGGCGGATCCCAGGTTAGTAAGAACTATCTGGCGAGTCTTCACTTCGCACGCCGCAGGTGAGCTGCTGGTCTTTATAAAAAGTATTTTTTGTGATAAAAAATAATATGTTTTCTCTTTACAGACCTTGTTCCCTGTATAGAGTTATGGGGTCATGTAAAGAGGCAAGATAAAGAATAAGGTAAGAGAACTTATTGGATTATCAGGGCCCTGAAGCTCCCCGTTAAGTGGCCAGAACGATAACTATGTTAGCCTTCGGGCTTTTTAGCCACCTCAGGGTAGAGTAGTTGGTCCCTCTATAGGATGTGTTACTTAGAGGGTGACTGACGCTAGAGCTTCAGATAGATCTTATGTCCGGCCCATGGGACCGTTTTTGACTTTTCTGAGTATTTCGCCCCTTGAGCTCTGTTGAGTTTTCATTAGGTTGAGCGTTTCTGCAGCCCTTTGTATGGAATAATACAGACTATATTCTTTAGTAGGCTGTGGCTCCTCCGAGCCTTCAGATAGATCTATGCTTACAGGCTGGCCCTCACCAGGGCCGCCTCTGTAGCTGGCCTAGGCTGTGCCAGGGATATTAGAGGCGTTCTGCTAAAATTAGCATTTCTTCCTCTGACCCTTCACTTTGTGAATGTAGGTTTTTGGCATCCCTGTATAATCAGCCTCCTCCCATGGGAGTCGTTAGGCCAAGGCCCGCCCCCTTCTCTGCATTCTGGGGTGACTAGAGTAATGCAGCGTGGTGCAGAGGATGGTTCATAAGGACATGGTAGGCCTCAGTTAGGCCTCCGTGGAATATAAGTCCTTTTGAGCAGGGTTAGGCCGTCTTTCGCTTCACGAAGAAGACTGAGTCTCCTGCCCGACCCTGCCGTGCAGAACTGGCCTACGGATTTAGGCCGCCAGTATGGGCTTCACTTACCTCGCTGAGCTACTGCTCGAGCGCCAGGTTGTAGGTGGTTGGCTTTCATTCAAGCCCCACTCCCCTAGGTTGGGCACAGATACATTTCTGTCACCCCTAGAGCCGCTGGCAGGCCCGCCCCCTGATAACCTCAGTGTGAGCTGTGAGTATTCCCCTGTGATTCAGGGTAGGTCTGAGTACTTCACTCCCAGTTCTGTTTATCCTACCTCGCACCACTATGGCTTGGGTCGAGTATGAAGTAAGCCTTCACTTCTTCTTTGGTCGAAGTACGCTCCCCTGTAGCCAGAGCATTGCCCTGAGCTGACGCCCATGCATAGATGGTAGGCCCCTGACTAACTGGGGCCTCCGTTGAGGCAGAGTGGCGTATGTTGTACTCCCCTTGTTTTTAAGGGTGCTAAGCTCTCTTGCTGAGTACACTGCAGTGGGCAATGTGATTAGGCACCAGGATGCTGTAGGCGCTGTGTAAACAGCTTATCTGCCAATGAAGGCTGCGCCATCAGGTAGTAGGCCTCAGCAGGCCTCCTTGTATGGGCAGCCCCCAATAGGGCGCTGTAGGCCACTTCTCGAGAGAAATGGTTGGCCTTGGTGGTTCGGGCAGTTGGCTCACCGGTGGGTAGTAGGCCTTAAACAGGCCTCCTTGGAGATGAGTCCCAACATTGTGGGACATACTTTATAGCCGCTACAGGTAGCTAGCCGTACTAGGCCTCCTGTGGGTGGGCCCAATAGTTACGTTGGTGTAGTATGGTTCCCAACAGTGTTCCTTTGTAGGAGAATTGACTTGCTATCAGCTAGTAGGCCCAACCAGGCCTCCCTGATAGGCGAGTCCCCAGCTGGCTGGCCTTAGCAGGCCGCCTTGGAACTGTCACCCGGACTCAGCTACCAGTTGCTATCAGGTAGTAGGCCACTCAGGCCTCCCTGAAGGTGAATTCCCACTTAAGATGGTTATCAGGTAGTAGGCCTCACCCGGCCTCCCTGAAGGCGAATCCCCAGCTACATTGGCTATCAAGTAGTAGGCCTCACCAGGCCTCCCTGGAGTCAAGCCCAAGGACAGACAACTGGACAGCTAGCCTGACTTTCTATCGGGTAGCAGAAAAAGCTCCCAGATATTATGGCTGTCAGGTAGTAGGCCTCACCAGGCCTCCCTGAGGGTGAGTTCCCCACGTACTATCGTTATCAGGTAGTAGGCCTCTCTAGGCCTCCCTGTAGGTGACCACATACTGTTGCTATCAGGTAGTAGGCCTCACCAGGCCTCCTTGTGAGTGGTTCCCTAGCGGTGCTGGGTTCAGGAAGCTAGAGGCCTCTTGCTATCATTTCAGCTGGCCTTATCAGGCAGCTGCTGAAGGCGAGCTTGCGCCCTGGCTCGACTAAAGTGTTCATTCTCTGCTACTGGTTCCTTCTCGGAACCTCTTTCCTGCCTACAGCCTGGTTTTGCCTACCAGGGGGACCATATGCTCCCCTCATTGAGGGTCACTGTGAGCACGCGGACTCCTGAGTCTGGTCAGACGGTCGTAGGCCTCTCGCGAGGCCTCCCAGTTAGATCAGTCCTTAGGCCTTCACAGGCCTCCTCAGTGTTTTGAAACGCAGACACTGGGTTGATCCGTGGATCGAGTAGAGAAACTCCCCTCGCTAGCAAGGGTTGGAAAGGACTATGCTGAGTCATACTCTCCGGGATATCCCGTCTCTGAGATCCGGGCCGAGCGGTTCACTGCCAGCTACGCAGTCCCTCGGGTGGGATGCCTTACCTAAGGCAAGTGTCCAGAGGCTCTGTCTTCGGACAGACAGGAAGTGGCCAGACTAAGTGTCTATGCTCTGACGCCAGGTCAGGCCGTCCTGGTGGCATTTCGGGGTGAGTACGTTCCCCTGAATAGTGATTGGCTGGGGTTCCTTCGGGTTCCCTAGCCACATTCCCTAGAAGGGACCTCTTCTAATTGAAGTTGTGGTCCTAGGCCTTTGAGCAGGCCCAGGTAGCCCTTTCATTTAACTATGTTTATGGAGGTTTTCCTGTGAGTCTTATAGCTTGGGCTATGACCGTAGGGAATGCTGTCACTGACAGCCCAGTGTGACCTGAGGGTGAGTGGTTCTAGCGTTTCATTTGAAGTTGCTGGTTCTGACAG